CATCAACAGAGCACAAGGGATTCAAAAAATCAAACTCCGTAGCTTTAATATTTTCCTTCCTTAAATATGAATGAAAAAAACAAAAACACATTTAAAGCATTCCCATGAATTTTGCTATGATTAAAAAATAAAGGGTCATTTTCAAATTCATCATTCAGAAGATACCCAAAATTTTCTAGGTCATTCCAAACTTCCTTAGGATTTTTTTTATATAAAGGTCAACAAAAATTGGCAGCTCAAATTGCCTGGATTTAGTAGTCGTTGCATGATCAGTTTACAAAGGCCTTCAAAAAACCATAGTTAAAGCATGCAAAACATGATGATCAAACAAATGAAAGCGCAAATTAGGGAAAAAATCATACATGTATAATAGGGCATTCTTCTTTGACATAAAAAAGCAACCACTTCAACAAATGAATCTAACAGCCATTAATGTAATAAGACATTCTAGAAAAAAGTTTGCTATAATCAAAATCATTTTAAAACTGAATAGCAACATGAAATACATCCAATAATCTAATAGAAAATAAACCCGATAGCTTAAAATTAATAAAAAAATGTACGGATATCATCCAAGTTAGGACTACAAATCAAAAACTTTCCCATAAGAGTAAATGCAAAAGGAGTCATAAGTTTCAAGACATCATCTTGGAAAACATAACTGTCGGAGCTCCCTTAAAGAAAGTATGAATAAAAAAAATAGCCACAGGGGAAGATGATGTATTACCGAATACTACCTCTTTGAAGGAGTGAGAAATTAGTTCATTAAGAGTACCCACAATTCCAAAAAAAAAAGCCTTGAGAATTAACATGATCCGCATGTTTGAAAATGCCACAAGGATTAGAAGGGGTCGCCCTTCTTGAAGAATACAGAATAAGAAAGCCAACCGCACACCAACTGGCCCAGATAATGAAAACGGTGGCAAAAAAGTAACAACGACAATGGAGGACAAATATGGGTTGACAGTGGACAAGGGCATCATCGGTGAGTATCTGCGGGCTAGGGCATCGTCTTGCACATTGATGGAGGTCTAGGGTAATCTTGGCCTCGAGAGTAATGAATTCTTAAGAAAATTCAATGTAACACTGACTATGGATAACAAAAAAATTATAGGGTGAGTAGATGCAGCTTGCTAGGTTGCATCTTTACAATTTTTTTTGAGGTATTTAAATATGTGTTAGCACTTAAGGGATTAAATTATATATAAAATGTATTTATGGCAAATGAGAAAGAATATACCCAACCTTAATCAACTACTGTAAAAGTATTTGAATTCTTGTTAATGCAATGCAAGTCTATCTGGGTGACATCTATTTGTGTGCAACTTTGAATGAGGAATAAAAAATACTATATACAAAATATAAGGAGGAATACAATGATATCTTGCTTCACATATTATTCAATGATCATTGTTCATATATTAAATGAAAATTCTTATTTACATAATAATTTTCATAAAATTTTAAAATAGACAAACCTTTAACATTAATAGCTCTGTTGTAATTATTTATACGATTAACATCCTTGACTAGCATCGCAAATTTAAAAAGCTTTACAATTTTAGTTCTAAAATAAATGTAGCAGTAGGAATAATTATTATTTAAAAATACTTGTTGCATCCTAGAGTATTTGTGGCAGTAGAGTGTTGGCTCAAGAAAAATAGGCATGAATGCACAAATCCTGCTTTGCAGCTGTAAGATTCCACTTGCCTTAAGTCAGATTGGAATTAATCAGATTTTTCTTGAGGGTAGTGTCAGGGTTTATAGATCTGAGGTTCTTACTTCCTATGAGTGCAAGCACTCATAGTTGATTACCCCTCTTAACACGTAAGAGAGAACTCTCGATTAAAGATGAATATATTTTAGGAAATTTTAGTCTCAATTGTGAAAATGATGGTAAACCCGATCAAGATCCCATGGTTCTGTCACCCCAGGTATACTGTAGGTTTCAGTCTACCAACACTAACAATCATTGACCGTAGTGTCTAGGGAATCTGATTAGCAGCCATGGGTTGCCTCTTCTCAGGGATCCGGAGTAGACTAAAGTGAAAATGTGTGAATTTTTGTTTTGTTTAATTTGGGTTAGGGCTTATGGCTTCCTTAGAAGTTTCCCTTTTATTTATTTAGTTTGGGGCTTACGGCTCTATTTAGGAGTTGCCCGAGGATTTGATTTAGAATTGGGCTTACTGCTCTAATTAGGAGTTGCCCGTTCATTTGTTTAGGTTGGGGCTTACGGCTCCAATTAGGAGTTGCCCAAAGATTTAAATCTAGATTGGGATTTATGACTTTCGTAGAAAGTAACCCAAGTATTTGATTTAAATTAGGACTTATGGCTTTCGTAGAAAGTAGCCCGAAGGTGTGCCTTACAACCTAACCCTATACGCTAAGATGCCCATAGGTTTGAATTAGATTATTTGGGTTTTAGATTCATTACAATTTATTTACTAATTTTTCTAAAATGTTGGGACTTACGACTTTAATTAGAAGTTGCCCAAAAATTGGTCTTACAACCTAATCCTATAGAATAGGATGCCCAAAAGTTTGAATTTTAGTTGGGGACTTATGATTTTCATAGAAAGTAGCATAAATAAGTGGGATTTACGGCCTTCATTGAAGGTAGCCCAAATATTTTTAGTTGGGTAGGTCTTATTGCTTCCTTAAAAGTTACTTAATGATGGGTCTAAAAACCTAGCACTTTAAGCTAAGTGGCTCGAGTTGTAGGTCTTATAACCTAGCCCTTTTAGACTAGGTTGCCCGAGTGAGGGGTCTAGGGTTGTATTATCACCTAAACATTTTCCTCAGAGGTCAGACTTTTGACTTCTATTAGAAGTGGCTGGGATAGTTTTAATTAGAGATTAAGAGTTAGGTTAATTTTTACCTAAAATTTCCCCCTAAGGTCGGGCTTACGACTTTCCTACGAAAGTTGCCAGGTAGTGGGTCTTACAACCAAGTTCTTATAAACAAGGCTGCTCATAGGTTGGAATTTGATTGCTTGAGTAGACAATACTTGTTTCATACTAGATCACCGTGGTTTTTTTTTAGTTGTTTTTTTTTTTTGCTAGTAGTTGTACTTACTAGTTTGACTAGTTGTTATTGTAACACTAGTGTTCTTTTGCTATAGTAGTTTTCCTTTCTGTTTTCATAGATTACTTTTTTTCTACACCAGTGTACTATTAGTTTACTGCAACATTTTTTTCTTTAGCATTAAATTTAATATTATTTTAATTATAATGCTAAATGAATTTAATTTATTTGTTGCAGGAGCTCATACAGAAGAGACTTTTGGGAGCTTGGAGATTAAGTTGTTTTGTTGGAGAGTTTTGGTTATGGTTGTAGGGAGTTTTGTATCGGAATTTGTAGAGTTTTGTTTGAGTTGAATTATTGATGCAATCCATCTATTGAGATTTGAGTAAGTAGTTTTTTTTCTAAGTTGAATTTGAAAGTTCGTTAGGGATGTTAGGCCCCATTGACTAGTCTACCCAATCTTGAGCTGGTTCTGAATTGCAGTCTTGATTGTGTGGTCCTGAAATGTTAGTACATAAGGCAATCGTATAGAAAAGGAAATGTTTGCTATCATCAAAATCATGAACCATAGATCCGCAACAGAATTATTTTGTTTGAAGATTTGTTTATATTGTTTAGTTGTTGTGTGTTGATCAGTTTGAACATAGGTTGAAAGATGGAAATGCTAATTTTCTTGAAACATGCCTGCAATACTATAGATTGATGGTACTCCAAGTAGAGACACCTTTTTTTTTCTTATTGAAATATTGAGTTGATTTAATCACCACTGTGTGCCCAGGTAAGTTAACTCCATGTGCAAGAATATTTGTGGCGTAAAGATCATAACGTTTTTCGGAAAAAGACCTTCAACAAGATTTTGATTCTTCAGACAAAGCCCACCATTGGGATTGCCAACACTTCATAGAAAGCATGATTGCATTTGTTTATCACCAAAAGATACAAAAGCTTCCTTTAATTTAATTAAAACTTTTTTTCTTTGCTCTTTTGATCTTTTTGAATGGATTTGAATGTCCAAGGCTTTGGTACAATATGAGAGATGTGTTGAACCGCATCTTGTGCACCTTTTCATAATGATCAGAATATAAGTGCAAAATTTTTTTTTCTTGATTATTGTATTTGGATTAAAAAAAATTTAAAGACGCTTTTCAAGTAAGAAATCATTCACAATTGGAGCACAATTTTCCCACTTCCAATTGGAGTGATATGATCATATTTATATTGGAAAGAAAGCATAGAGAAAAAAGCACTCATTTTGTAATGAAATAAAGTACCTAAAACTAAACATGAAACAAAATGGAGAAGACAATCCCAATACATATCTCATAGTATACGAGTCCATAGATGATCTCATCTTCCCAAAAATTGCTTTTTTTTTTTTAATAACAGATGGCTTCAAATGCAATTTTTTTTTTAAAGATCAAACTGATATTGCTCATTCAAACAATCTCGGTCGGACCTAAGGTCGATGACACGAGGTCTTCACTTGAAATTCTTCCCGACCGGATTTAAAATCAACGGTGCAAGGTCTTGTATTGATTTTTTTAAATTTTGATTTGAAAATCTGATTTAAAAAAAAAACTGATTTGATTCAATTATCAAATCCTATATGAAATCATATATATATATATATATATATATATATATATATATATAATCTAATTTTTATTTATAAAATCTAAGTCGAAATTAGATTTATAAAATCTATTTTTTTTTAATCTGCTTTTTGAATGAGATAAAGAAGAATATCCATCATTGCAAGTTGACAGTTGTAGCCAATTAGCCGAGGTTTTTATTGTTTACTTATAAAATGGACAGGTTCATGTAAGAGGCATGGAAAAACGTGCAATAATTATGATCTTTTTGAGTAGAGAATATATTCATTGAAGACGATGGTGCTGGTTCAACGGCAAGCAGAGTGCATTTAGGCTTAGATTCGGCCGTGAGAGAAGAAGTCGAGTGAAGATTAGTGGCGGGATTTGGAGTTCGTATAGGGCCGAACACTTGTCTGTGTGGGATTTGGTGGAAGTGAGGAAGAAGGCAACTGGGATTGAAGGGCGGCTGTGGTGGCTTCGCCACAAAATTGTGAAATAAGAGACTTGATTTTACCTGTATATAGGAATTTGGTTTTGTAATTGGAGACGGGCTTGTGATCACCGGCAGTTCGCAATCGGAAGTTGCGTCAGCTTTGTTTGGCGTTCAATGGAGTTTGATCAACACCGAACAAAGGTCCAGAAAAAAAGAATCCTCCCTTTCAATTTTTTTCTCTTTTTATTGACACCATTATTGAAGAACGATTTTGGGTTGAATAGTTGCGTCGTTTTGCCAAGTGGGGTCGCCTTGGAGGATAAGTATTTGAAGAAATGTGTCTATTGGATTTGAAATAGTAACAGCACATACACACTCTTTTTTTTTAATAGTTGGCTATTGATTATTATTACAAATTTACATATAATTTTAGAGTTCAATTTTAATATTTTAGAGGAGCAAATTGTTGTTCTGCAATAGCTAAAAAAAATTGCTTATTTTTCTTTTCGTGAATGCATGAATCTTTTAGTTTTCACATTTTTTTTTGTCTAAAAAAAAAAATTTATCAATTAATTAGCATAAGAATTAAGTACCGTAGATACTCCATCTTCAAGCTTCAATGTAATCTGTCAGCAATTTTGCGTATACTAAAGTCACCTATTTCAAGAATTATGTTGTAGTTTCATTTGTCAACACAAAAGATTCATCTATTTAATTCATCTACTTTAATCCAAGTAGAACTGATGAGAGAATATGGTGAAGAGAAACATGGTGTTTATATTAACAAATCAACAATTATAAACTATCTTAGAAATCTCTCTCTCATCAACTCAAGTTCTATTTACTAGCTATTTGGGCCTGGTTGATTTTGATAATCTTTCATAACTCAAGGGAAATGTTATTCTAGTTATATAATTGAAGTTAATCTTGAGATTTCAGTCTATTGACCTGACAATTTTCCATAACTCAAGAAAAAAAGTCATAGTACTTATTATAGAATTGTAGTGAATCTCAAAATTTTGGTTTGTTAACCTGGTAAGGATCACTATAGATGCATCCACCGACGATCCATATAACAGTAAGACTGCATTCTGCATTAAACTAATGAAGAAATACATCTCTTGGATTTTTTATTCATGCCCTCTTTTATCTTTTTTTTTTAATTAACAAATTGCATCCTAACGAAGTTCTTTGTGTGATTTTCACACAAGAATTTTGTTGAAGTTTGCCAATCACATGGTTTTTTTTTATTTTTTATTTTTTTTTTTTTGCTTTTTCCAAGGAAAAATGCTTGATTGGAGGAGACCTTCATCAATGCCCAGAATTGATCCTTTAGAAGAATATATTTGGAAGGAAATTGATGCATGCGATTTTTCTCAGTCGGCTTTGGTTTCAGATCGTTTGTATTGGCATAGGGAGATGCTTGTTGATCAAGATATATATGATGGATTATTTACTCGATCACCTCGCATGCCTTCCTTTGATTCGGACTTACCAGTTGGACATGACCCACAAATTGGATTATTATATAGCAATTGTGATGTACAGATGGTGCTTCTTTAGACCGTATCATTGAGGGACTGAATTATGGGGATCAGGATATTATGCAACCAGCAGCTGATCTTGCAGAGCCTACAGGTGTTGTCAAATTGCTCAGCTATCAGTTGCTACATCATGAGATTGAGGAGTTGCGCCATGATCCTATGTTTGGTAGTCCTGTTCAAGCTTTGACTGCTTATGTTAGGTGGGTCCATTACACACTTCAAATGCATCAGGAGGTACTGAAGCAAGCGGGGGTATATAAAGCCATTTATATTTCTTTATTTGATTATAGCTGCCTTTCTTTTTCATGGCTTCAGAGTATTATTGAGCATTGGGATAGTGCCACAAATACTTGTTGGGTTGGACCCAATGAGATGATGATTACACTGGGATTTATGTACCATTTATGGTTTGCCAATTTTATAAATTCTATATGAAGAGTGTATTCCTATTGATTATGATTTGTTTAGCCGCCGACCAGCAGGGCGGCAGAGGAGAGATGAGTTTGGTTACTTAGTGGGGCTTCACCAAAGTTTGAGGCACTACCATAATCTTTATCAACATAGGAGGCGAGGTCGTAGTCGCAGAGGAACTATTTCATTAGATGTTTGGATTGAGAGCTTTTTAGACCCAACTGCACTTGTTACAGAATTTGAGCGGATTCAAGATCCTTTTGACCGGAGACCACACGATACAGAGTAGTATTCAAAGGATCATTTTGAGCCAGGCTTAGTAGATGGATTGAATCATATTTCAGCCAGAAGATATTCAGATGATGTGCTCTTGGTGTCTTTTATTGCTACGTGGTTCTGTTACTTTGTATTCCCTAGCCAGAGTAGAGTCTTTCGACCCAGTACGCTTCTGACGGCTATTTTGATAGCGAGTGGGAGGAAGATCTCGCTATCCCCTACAGTTCTTGCACAGATTTATTATAGTTTAGGGCATATTTGAGCTACATATGGTCGTAGTCAGAGCAGTGTTGAGATTCCTTGGCACTACCTTTACGGATGGATACATGTACATGTTGCATGTGCTTTTAGTTGTTCAGAGTTACCATGTTACTTTACAGAGCGTTGCTTTCCTTCTTTGCTGCAGTTAGCCAGAGCGACATCTTCACAGATAGAGCTTAGATTCGTATGTTTATGTTTGCACCTCTACGGATGACTGATCGTTACAGATTGATTTATATATCTCCACTTGTTTCTTTACCTACGCAGTGCTTTGGTGTACCCCAAGTAGATTCTCAGTCTGAGAATACTCCCACTTTACTTTCCAGGTCAGGATATATACCGATTGCTTCATATTTTATTAGTATGAGACCTGGTTGGATTTGCTATAAACAGCATGGTTCAGTGATATTGGAGGGATATAATCCCAATTGGGCAGCGAGGCAATTTGGACTTGTTCAGGCCACACCATTGGACTGATTACCAGTTATTCCTGGGATTGTTGACACACGTCAATTGGGCTCTCTTCCATTTTCAGTACGTTTGGAGGCATCTTCCATGACTTGGGCTTTTCTACTTCGTCTTGGGACAGGTTCTCGATTTTATATTCCCCATATGGATGCTCCGGCAGGCATTTCACACCTACGGTTGGCTTGGACTCAGCACACATATTCTTCCTTCATCGAGATGGGCATTGGGTCATATAGTAGACAAGTTAGAAGACAAAGACCATCAAGGTACCCTTCAGTACCTTAAGGTCATACTACTGCACATAAGGAGACTTCCAAACTTGATGATAGAAGGAGGAAGCGGAGCCCTGAGCCTACTTTTAGACATGGTGGCCCAGGTATGTGATGTATATTATTTTTATATATGATTTTATTTTTCTTGCATACTAATATGCAAATATTGCAGTTGTTAAAGATAGATCGATCTCTCCTTCTACCGACAGAGGTCACCCTAGGCATCGATCTTCAAATGATGTTCCAGGTTAAATATTCCTTCTTAATTAACCTATATTTATCTCATTTTTTATTGCATTTATATTTTCATAATGCATTTATTTTTTGTTACAGTATCCAGACACATCCCTATTGACCTGCCAAGTTCTCCTATTTTTGTGCCGAATACTTTGCCTACTCCTCCAGGCTTCCCTTTTTCTATTTTCTCAACAGACCAGAGTGCTTCTTTGAAACCAGTCCCAGGTTTTGGCATATATTATTATTATTATTATTATTATTATTATTATTATTATTATTATTATTATTATTATTATTATTATTATTATTATTATTATTATTATTATTATTATTATTATTATTATTATTATTATTATTATTATTATTATTATTATTATTATTATTATTATTATTATTATTATTATTATTATTATTATTATTATTATTATTATTATTATTATTATTATTATTATTATTATTATTATTATTATTATTATTATTATTATTATTATTATTACCCAGGTTTTGGCATATATAATTATTATTATTATTATTATTATTATTATTATTATTATTATTATTATTATTATTATTATTATTATTATTATTATTTATCTTTCATTTAGTCTTTCAATTCCTCAATATGTTTATCTTTCAAACGTCGAGTTCGTGAATGCAGAGCCTGAACTTACACTAGATATTTTGGATGAGGATAGCCATCTAGCTATTGAATATACACCTGATGATGCCGAAGGTAAATAAATATATATTTATCTACCTGTTCATTTCATTAATCAACATTCTCCTTTTTATTTTTCTCTTGGATATATGCATAGGTGAAAGCTTATCATCTTCTCAGTCTATACACAGTGATTCTACACAGATGTTATTTGAGAATGCTGCTGATGACACTATTACAGAGTTAGCTAACCCACCTTCCTCTTTCTCTGATTAGACTTGGGAGATCATAGATGATGTGCCAGAAAGCTCCTCACCAAGTATTACTGCCCACTTAGGTGACTAATATTCATCAGGATCATCAGATGAGATCCACCTTTTAGGTATTTATTTTTTTATTCTTTTAAAGTTATACCTTTCTTCTTTTGTTCATCTTTATTCTCTCTTTTTTTTAATAACTCTACATATATTTTACATTCAGGTTCAGAGCTGGCTTGCTTTGTGTCTAGGATACCTTCTCGAGCTCGTAGATATTTTGGTCAGCAACTATTGAGTAGAGCACATCACATTGTCACTGCTGTGCGGCACCTACTACTAGAAGTGGATCTTGATGATTTGTCGTTTCCAAATTTAGCCAATTTTTGTGTTGAAGGGTCCCTACTTTTAGACTGTGCTGCAACTTCTGGACTTCGGGAGACCGCTTTAGAGACATGGGAGTACCTTTGTCGTGTTGTTGCTTTCGGGCTATACACATTACACTTTGTCCCTGAGGAGTTAGCAGTTGGAGTTCCTGACGATTTAGAGGATGCAGTGAGAGCTACTTTAGAAAGGATGAAGAGGATTAGTATGGATCGTAACTTTGGCCTTCAGGCTTTGAGGCATTGCCAATGAGACATTTCAGTGGAGCAGCTTGAGCTTTTAGAGATATTAGCATAGCTTAAGGCTTTAAGGCAACGAGGGATGGCTCTTTTGGAGAGGCGATGAGATCTTCGAGCAGCAGCTACTTATACTGAGGAGGAATTTACTTGGATAGCTACTGAGGTTGAGAGACTAGAGCAGGATTTATCATCATCCACCAAGGAGTTTGACTTCGTTGCATCATCAGTTGGAGACCACTCAGACTAGGCAGATGATGATACAGGATCGCATGTTCAGAATTAGACAGCAAATAGGAAGCCTTCAGTTCAGCCTTCTATAGCTTCTCTGGCTTCACTCTGGTACGAACAAGTATATTTTTTTTATTTACACGTGCATTTATATATTTTTTCTCTCCTTTTATTTTCTTTTATTGGGATGTCTTAGACTTTTACTCTTTTATATTTGATAGAATGTGACTCAACCTTTGGGTTTATGAGCATATAAGATTTCAAAGTTTTGTTGCAACCCATGACCCACGTGGTTTTTTGGTAAAGTAAAATTCCATAGATCTTTGTTTTTAATATTTCAAAAATAACAAAAAATTAGAACTCTTGTTTAGGGTTAATTTTATTAAGAGAAAAACTTTCACAATTCACCCCCCCCCTCTTGTCTTTTAGTAATTTCAAGTTTGGCCTTTAGGCTTGTTGAACTTTTATAGATTTAGCTCGACCCTTAGGTTTATGAGTATATAAAATTTATAAAGTTCGACCCTTAGGTTTGTTGAACTTCAGGGATTTAGCTCGACCCTTAGGTTTATGAGCTTAGAAGATTTCGGAGTTTTGGCCTTTAGGCTTATTGAACCTCGTGGGTTTAGCTCGACCCTTAGGTTTATGAGCTTAGAAGATTTTGAAGGTTTGGCCTTTAAGCTTGTTGAACCAACTGGTTTTAGCTCGACCCTTAGTTTTATGAGCATGGAATATTTTGAAGTTCAGCTCTTAGCCTTGTTGAACTTCGTGAATTTTAGCTCGACCCTTAGGTTTACGAGCATATAAGATTTGCAAAGTTCAGCCCTTAGGCTTGTTGAACTTTGTGGATTTAGCTCGTCCCTTAGGTTTATGAACATATAAATTTTCAGAGGTTCAGCCCTTAGGCTTATCGAACCAATGGGTTTAGCTCGACCCTTAGGTTTATGAGCATAGAGGATTTTGATAACTTCTTTATTTTTATTTGGTAAAGGGGATAAAAATACCTCCCGACTTTTTAGAAGGAGATTGAATTTATCTTCTACATTGCAAGAGATAATATAAAAATTGCCTCCTGTCTTTCAGGAGGGGAGTGAATATTATTTTACTCCTTATAGGGGAGATATAAAAATTGACTCCTGTCTTTCAGGAGGGAATTTGGAAGATTTATGCCTAGTATGCAGATTTTCATACATAACATTCTTTTATGTATGATATTTCTTTAGATATTGAACATTAATTGGTGGCATAGGTCTTTGATCATTCAGGTCTATGAGTTGATAGGCACCTCCTTCATACATTATTTCAATGATGAAGGGTCCTTTTCATATTGGATCAAATTTACCTCCAAGATGACGATGAGGGATTATAGGTCTTCGGTGAACCAGAATAAGCTCACCTTCTTTGAAGCTTCTAGGACTAATCATTCTATCATGGGTCCTAGACATTCTTGCTTTGTAGGATTTTAGACTTTGCTGAGCCTAGAGTTAAACTTCATCAAGGGCTTCAAGTTTTTCAAGTCATAGAAGATCTTTTTCTTCTTTAGTTAATTCGTATTGAACAACAATACGAAGAGATGGCAACTGGACTTCGAGAGGTAATATTGCTTTGGTTAAAAAAACTAGCGAATATGGGGTGGCTTGCATTGCAGTTTTATAAGTGGTACGATATGCCCAGAGAGCTTCTATCAATTTATCGTGCCACTCACTCTTATTTTTAGAGAGAATATTCTTGAGCAACTTAACCAAAGTCTTGTTAAATGCTTCGGCCAAACCATTCGCCCTTGGGTTATATATCGATGAATAACGCCAGTTATCTTATGGCGCTCTACAAATCGATAAATTTTGGCACTTTTAAAGGCAGTACTGTTGTCTGATATAATTCAACGAGGTACGCCAAATCGGTAAACAATGTTATCTCGAAAGAATTTCATCACATTATCTGCTTTAACTTCTCGTAAGGGAATTGCTTCATCCCATTTTGAGAAGTAGTCAGTGGTAGCTAGGATGAATTGATGTCCTAAAGAAGATGGTGGTTCTATTGGACCTATTATATCAGTACTCCAGCTTTCAAATGGCCATGATGCTACTGTAGGGTGTAACGGATTGGGAGGTCGATGCATGATAACTACATGTACTTGACATTGATGGCATTTCTTAGCATGGTCAATATAATTTTGAACCATAGTTGGCCAATGGTATCCCATACGTTTGATTTTGATTTTCATTTTTGGTCCAGATTGGTGTGCACCACATAATCCTTCATGTACTTCACTTATAACTTTTGGGATTCATCGGGTCCCAAACATCGTAGCCATATTTTATCAAATGATCTATGATATAATGTATCATTCACAAAAGCATATCTTAATGCTCTTCGTGATATTTTTGAAGCCATAGATTTATTTTCGAGTAATCTCCCTTCTTTGAAATATCTGATGAATGGATCTCTCAAATCAATTTCATCAGATATAACCAAGCTCTCTCGCATTTATTCCCCTTTATCATCTTGTATGATTGCTAGAGTTAATGCATGTCTGTTTTGGATAGTTATGAGAATTGGATCCTCCCGCAAATTTGCTAGTTCTTTAGCTAACTTTGCCAGAACATCGGCTTTGCCATTTCACTACGCGTAATTCTAGTGAGAGTTACCTCAGGAATTTGTCGTAGGAGTTTTAGAGAATACTCATGATAAGAAATTAATTCATGCTTATTGATTTTGAAAGCACATATTATTTGTTTGATTATGAGTTGAGAATCTCCATATATATGGATCTTCTCAATCTTCATATTAATTGCCAACTCAAGGCCCGCAATTAAGGCTTCGTATTCAGCCTCATTATTAGTGCGAGGCTCTGTTAAGCTATAGGAATATCGAAGTTTTCCTTTTTGTGGTGTATTGAATATAAGGCCGATGCCTACTAGGACTATTGGAAATTTACATGGCTTAGATGGTTTTATTGATGAAGCTCCATCAAAATAAAGCTCCCATTCTTGCAGGTTTTCTTCTTCTTCCACTTCAAGTGTTTTCTCATCTGGAAATTCATCGTTAAGTGGAGAATCTGTAGGTAGAGGATGGGCTGCTAGAAAATTAGCTAGAGCATATCCTTTCACTACTTTTTGTGGCATATACGTTATGTCAAATTGCATTAACAAGACAACCCATTTAGCTAGATGACCAGTGAGAGTGGGTCTAGTCATTAGAAATTTTAATGGATCCACTTTAGATATTAAAGTGATTTTATGGGATAACATATAATGCCGCATTTTTTGAGTAGCAAAGATCAATGCTAGGCATTGCTTTTCAATTGGTGAATATTTAGATTCTGCCCCTATTAATCATCGACTGATATAATAAAGGGCATTTTCTTTGCCGTCTTCATTTGTTTGTGCTAGCAATGCTCCGAGTGATTCTTCAAGAGCAGCTGTATATAGGATTAGGGGTTTCCCTGGGATTAGGGCAGCAAGAATTAGAGGATTTAATATATATTGCTTTATACTATTAAATGACTCTTGACAAGCATCGTCCCACACAAAAGGAGTATCTTTCTTCATCAATCATAAAAAGGGTTGGCATCTACTCGAGAGATTAGATCTAAATCTTTGGATATATGCCAATCTTCCTTGTAATGAACAAAGTTGTCTTAGAGTTTTTGGAGGTGGCATTTCCACTATTGCTTGAACTTTATCGGGATCAATTTTAATCCCTCTATGGCATACAATAAATCAGAGAAATTTACCAGATGACACACCAAAAGCTCATTTAAGCGGATTCATTTTCAAATTGAAGTTGCGAATTCTTTCGAATATAATTTTGAGATCATTTGCATGTTCATTTTGATTTTTGCTTTTTACAACCAAATCATCCATATAAAATTCTACATGCTTATGGATAAGATCATCAAAGATTCGAGTCATCGCTCTTTGGTAAGTAGCTCCATCATTCTTCAAATCGAATGACATTACTTTGTAGCAATATATGCCAATGGGAGTTCAAAATGAGGTATGTTTTTCATTCTCAGGATCCATTTTGATTTGATTATAACCCGATGATCCATCCATGAATGAGAACATGTTATGATTCAAAGTGTTATCGACCATAAGTTCTACATTGGGCAGTGGGAAATCATCTTTTGGGCATGCTTTATTTAAATCCCGGTAGTCTATACAAACATGAATTTGACCATTCTTCTTCTTCACTGGAATGATATTAGCAATCCAGTTAGCATACTTCTCTTCTCGAATAAAACTAACTTCAATAAGCTTCTTGGTTTTAGCAATGACTTTTTTTTTTAATTTCAAGTCACATTCGCCTGGGTGCTTGCTTAACAGGCGGTATTTTTGTATCGATGGAGAGTTTATGCACTGCCACCTCTGGTGATAAACCAGGCATTTCAGTGTAGTTCCATGTGAAACAGTCTTTATATTCGAAAAGTAACATTCTTAGCTCTTCTGCTTTTTCTTGTAAGAGATCAGAGCTGATGAATGTAGGTTTTGGATCTTCTTTAGAACCCAAATTTATTTCTTTGAGCTTTGTTAAGATAGTTGCTATTTGCATGCTTTACATTTTTGCAACTTATGAAGTTTTGATGATTCCAAACATTATTGTTCAAATGTGTAGTTATCTCCTAACTTTTTTTTAGAAAAATTAAATTTGCTCTTGTGTGTACTAACATTTCAGGGAAAACGAACTCCAGATTACGATGACTTCAAATTGAATTCAGCATGAGTTACTCTGTAATATTTGAAGCTTGTACTTTTCTTTGAAATAAAAAAAAAATAAAAAGTGATTGTAACTTGAGTGAATAAAAACATACACACACACACATGAGGAGATCATATAAAATTTATATTGATCGTACAGGACGATATACGTTCATACTGGACGATCAGACAGTTATCTCCCATAGAGCATATGGAACGAATAGGAACTTGCTCGAAAATTTTTTTCTAAGTCCTATTCGTCCAGGACGAAATAAAATATCGTACAGGACGATTGGTTCACTGGAAAATTTTCGTCCAGACAAA